TCTGTCCTCCACTCAGCTTTGAAAGTGATATTCTGGGGCAGCTAGGTGGTGCAGTGGATAGAGCACTGCCCGTGAAGTCAGGAGGACCTGAGTTCAAATGTGACCTCAGCTCAGACCAAACACTTGACGCTTACTAGCTGTGTGACCCTGGGCAAGTCACTTAACCCCAATTGCCTTAAAAAAAAGTGATATTCCTAAAGGGCAGACCTAGGTGGCTCTCTATTGCCCCCAGAATCAAATGTAAAATCTGTTTGGCTTTTAAAGCCCTTTATAATCTGGTCCCTTTCTACCTTTCCAGTCTTCTTGTTTCTATTCTGGACAGAAACTCTAAGGGCACCTTCCCCCACAGATTGATGCTTTTATGAAGACAAACTAGGTCATCTTTTGCCTCAATTCTTACCTAGCCCTTAATTGCTGAGTGGGTATTGCCTCAGACAAACTGAGACCTGGGAAAGCCCTTAGCTTAAAAACGCCAAGGTCTCCCACTGTATCTGGGGCCATCACCAGTTGTCTTGACCTGTGTCTTGCCACTGGACTCAATGACTAGAATAAAAAGTAAGGCTAATGACTTTGCACAGTTCTGCCTCACTTAAATCTAATTCACTTGCAAGTCAAGACATCACCCTCCTGATGTCTCTGGTCCTCTTCGAGAACGAAGGATGAGCAACAAAAACCACTTTACTGCCTCCAAGTACTCTGTGATCCCGTAACAGTGGCCTTTTCCTAGAACAAGACACTCCATCTCCCAACTTGGTGAATTTTCGCTGGCAGTGGCCTATGCCTGCAATTCTCTCTTTCTTTGCCTGCACCTCCTGGCTTCCCTGGCTTCCTTCAAGTCTCAGCTAACACCGCACCTTTTAGAAGAAGCCTTTCCAGATACCTTTTAATACCAGTGCCTGCCTTCTGTTGATTATCTCCACTTTATTATCTTGTACATATCTTGTTTATCTATAGTGATTTACGTGTTGTCTCCCTCATTAAATTGTGAGCTCCCTAAAAACAGACTTTTTTCTTTCTTTCTTTGTATCCCCAGAGCTTAGCATAGTGCCTGGCACATAGTAAGGGCTTAATAAATGCCTGTTGACTTGCTGAAAAGTTTTTGCAAAAACAAACGAAATTAGAATTAACAGGGAAACAAATAACTTGGAGAAAAATCTTTACAGCAAATCCCTCTGATATAGGTCTGATACCTAAGATATTTAAAGAACTGGTTCAAAAAATGAGAAATGAGAATCATTCCTTAACAAAAACCTAGAATCACAGAATCTGAGAGCTGGATAGGATCTCAACAGCTGTCTTTTGTGTGGTTTAGATACAAACCACAGACAAAATGAATCCCCAGACAAGTGGTCACCCAGTGTCTGCTTGAAGACTTTCAAGGAGGGGGAACTTACCACCTCCTAAAGCAAGTCATTCCACCTTTGGACAGTTCTAACTATTAGGAAGCTTTTTCTGGCATCAAGTCGAAATTGTCCCATTTGCAACTTCTATCCATCTTTTTTTTTTTCAGGTTAAGTATACCCAGTTTCTCCAACTGGTCCTCATATGTCATGAATTACAAGCTTTTTACCATCCTGTTTGACCTCCTTGGGACACCATTCAACTTAGCAATGTCTTTCTTAAACCATGGTGCCCAGAAATGAATCCAATACTCCAGATGAAAGATAACAAGGGAAAAATATAGTGGGTTTATCACCCCCTGGAAGCTCTGCCCCTCTTAACTCAACCTAAGTTTTCACTAACTTTTAGCACAACTGCCGATTGAGATTGAGTTTTAAGTCCACTGAAACCCCCAGATCCTTTTCAGAACAGTTCTTGTCCATCCATGCTCTCCTCCATCTTATATTTGTGGAACTGGTTTTTATCATACCCAAGTTAAAGATTTTACATTTATTCCTATTGAATTTCACCAATCCAATGTACTAACCTGCCAAGATCCTTCTCAATCCTGTCAATGTGTTAGCTATACTTCCTAGAATTGTAGTAAGTGTAAATTTGATGAATATGACATCTAAGTCTTTATTCCAGTCATTGATAAAAATGTTAGCACAGGGCCAAGTCCAGAGAAATGATCAAATGATATGAACAAGCAGTTTTCAAAAGATAAAATATAAGCTATCAACAATTAGAAGAAGAAATGTTTCAAATCACTAATAAGAAGAGAAATGTAAATTAAAAACAACTGAGTTTAAACCTCATACTCATCAGATTGGTCCACGTGATAGAAGAAGAAAATGTCAATCGTTGGAGGGGCTATAGGAAGAGAAGCATTGATTGTAGAGTGGTGAATTGGCTCAACTTCCTAAAAAGCAATTTTAACTGTCCCCCCTCCCCCAAAAAGTCATGAAACTGTGCATATCCTTTAATCCAGTGATACCACTATGGCATGTCTACTCAAGAGGTCTATGATAAGACCAATACCTACCAGGGTTCTTCCTTCCCATAGCTCAACATGAGCTAGGCCAGATTGTTAATTGGTTGGTATAGTTTCTTAAATAAATAAAAATAGAGTAAAAGATCATGGGATATGGTATCAGAGGCTCTGGCTCTACCATTCACCACCACCTGTAGAACCTTGGGCAAGACTCAGCCTGTATAGGTTTCAGCACCCTCATCTATAAAATGAGAGGGATGGATTAGAAAGTACCTTCTAAGGCCCCTTCCAGCTCTAAATCTCTGAAATTATATTACAGTGCAACATGACTTTAATTCTACTAGAGTGCATGAGAAGGAAACAAAGCTTTCCGATAAGCTGCAGGTAATTCTGTCCCTTCAGTAAAAACGATCTTAAACAGAGACTTTTGTGAAAGACTAGCACACTAGTAGATTTTTAGGAAAAAAAAACTATTCACAAAGTTACACTTCATCTCTTCTTTAAAATCAATTTACCAAACCTCATTTTCCACTGGGAAATTAATACCCAAAACACCCACAATAGGGAAAGTGGACTCCTCAAGAATAATAAGGGAGTTCTGGATCATAACTTTTAATGCTGGATTTTGCTGGAATCTAAAGAAACCATTTCTTCATTGAACATTGGTCAAGAACAAAAACCACAGACTGGGCCAAATCCTCAGATAAAATGAAAGTGTGTATTTCCAGCTGACATTGATGGCAGTGGGAGATACAGGGAGCCATTCACAACAATGAGTTAGAAAAAAAAAAAAAAAGTCTTCACTAGGAAGCAGAGGAAACCCAGAGTTGTTTATGTAGATTTCAGAAAGCTAACAGATTAATTCATTTCCTTTTAAATTTTTCTGGCACCAGTCAGGCTGATTTTTACAATGAGGAGACAAAAACCATTGTGTTCTCCTCTTTTCTCTCCTAGTGTAGTCAATTTAGCACAAGGACAGCAGTTGCAAGAAATGTGGTTGTTGCCTAGCAATCTGTTATCCACACCGAGCTTCATTTCATTACACGGGGGCTTGTTGTTCCTAGAGAGGAAAAAATATATTTAATAACTATTAGTACAGAAAAACTGTGCCCTTTTGAACTGGTGAGGAAAGTCTAAATGAAGATATTAGCACCTTTAGCATTATACATTGGTTTGGTGATAACAAAAGAAACACTAGATTGGCCTCTCTCCCCCAGGGGAAGAGAGGACATTTTCCCCATGCAAGTCTTCTCATACCCACTGACAAAAAGGTACCAGTTAAATCCTGTAATATCTCAATGGATAGTAAACTGTCACTCACTATTAGGAAAATGATTACCTAGGGAGTCCCCTTAGAGGGCCTCTGAGCTCTGGTAGAAATGAAATTCACATACTCTGATCCTCAGCTGCTATAACCAGTTAACTCTGCCTCAGTAAACACTATTAAAAGCCAGGAAACCAGGTTGGGCGTTTGTTTAAGTTAAAGCTTCAGTAATCACACAGACCTATAAGGCCACTCTTCTGCTGATGCCCTCTGTTATTAACTTCAGAAAATCTGTAAGATAACAGGATATATGTATAATGGGCATTGTATTTCTTGTCTTCCCAGTAGGTGGATAGGGGTGGGGGGGGGGAGCAGAATTTGGAACGGAAAATAAAAATTAAAAAAGAATACATGAGAGACACAGCATGGAGTTGTGGGTTGAACCCACAACTTGGCCTTTGGAGCCAAGACAACCTGGGTTCAAATACCCACTGTGGGATCCTGGGTAAGTCGCTTAATTTTTCAGTATTTTAGGCAACTCTTATCTAAAACTATAGCAGAGAAGCTGCTGACTGGCCATAGTAAAGGGTATTTTTTCACCTGGGAGCTCCTTATATTAATGAAATCACAGATCCCACCCCCCTCCCTCTACTTCAGGGGTTCTTAACATGGGATCTATGAATTGTTGTTGTTGTTTTTTAACTTTAATAACTGTATTTCAGTATAATTGGTTTCCTTTGTAATCCTATGTATTTTACTTTATGCATTTAAAAACATTTCTGAGAAGGGGTCCATAGGCTTCACCAGACTGCCAGAGAGATCTGTGACACATACACACAAAAAAGGTTTTAAGAAATCCCTGTAAGTGAACAGCTGCTCAAGTAGAATTCACAAATTCCACCAAAGGAAAGAGGAGTCAATTAGGCGCAGACTTCCACAGGCGGTTTTGGAAAAGCATCAGAAACTTGCTGTATAGTAATGAATGCACCTTTGCCCCGGGTCATATCAAAGGAATTATCTAGAGACGCTTCTCCCTAAACCCACTAAAAGGAAGCACCTAAACAAGGAACTTAAAAGCAGGATATTTGCGTTCCTACCTAATTCAAATACTGAACAGCTCCAATTGAACAAAGCGGAAAAAGTTTTGTTTAGCTATCTTATTTGTAGAGTAGTTATTAAAGCTTTTACCCAGAAGCTCTGAAAGAAGTCTAGGATGAGCAGGAAGGGAGAAGGAGATGCAAGGAGGGTTTGGTGGGGTATGATTGGCAAACAGAGGCAGGTGGCGGCTGGAGTGGGATGGAGTCCCTCTCCCGAGATGGTGCAAGCCCTGCCGCTGTGCCCCAAGGGCAGCCCCTGCCTCACCTTTCTGTCTCAGGTACTGGATCTGGTGCCTCTGGCTCTGCCTCTCCAGCAGCTCCTGCAGGACGCGGCCGCCTAGGAAGGCGTCGGAGCCGCCCGAGGCCTCGGTGGAACTGTCCACGCTGTCCTGCCGCCCACCGCGCCCCCGGCCCCAGCTGCCCCCCAACCCATCGTCCTCCTCTGGGCAGCTGTACAACTCGGTGAGCAGCCCGCTCACCAGGGACGCCGTGTGGCTCGACCTCCCCCGCGGAGGCGGACACTGCTCGGAATCCTCCTCCCACTTCGTGCTGTCCTTGTCCCCGCTCGTTCTCCCCGCGCGTAGTAACTGCGCCCCCCGGGACAGTGGGTCCCGAGAGACTGTTGAAGGACTTTTCTCCTCCTCCTCCTTTTCCTCATCCCGCGTCTTCCCCTGCTCCTGCACCCCTGCCCCGCCGATCTCAATTCCCGAGAGCTCCTGATCGGTGGGGTCTCGAGGAGAAGCTGTCATGTCCCCGGGGCGCCCGCGTCCTCCCCCTTTCCCCGCACTGGCGAGCTTGCCCGGGCGCCTGCCGCTCCTCTGGCCCATGCAGCTTTCTGGGCTCCCGCGGGCCGGACAGTTCCGGGTCGAGCCGATGCCACATCCCCCGGCTGGGGGAGCTCTAAGCGTCCACTAGCTCGGGATCTCTTAAGTGACCGCCTCCAGGCCCTCGAAGGTAGACGCCCTCCTTGGTCTGGGCGCGGAGGAGGAGTGGGAGCTCTCCACGCCACCGGTTACCTGGCGTTGCACCTGCTCTAGTGAGGAAAGACTCTGACGAGCAAAGGTTTTCCAGCTGGCTGGAAGGCAAAAAACTGAACGTGGCAGGAAGAGGATGGAGACAAAACTTAACACGGGGACGGGATTGGAGACCAGGTGTAAGCCACCTCCACCTTTACCAGGCACTCGATTCAAACGAGAGACGTGTCACCGGCAAAATATAATACCCAGGAGTAATTTAATGGTTTAAAACTAAGTCAGTAAATAAGAGCTGATCAGGATCTCTCTTTCCGAATACATTCCCAGATACTTCTCACCTTTCCTCAAGGAAGATATTTCAGGACCTGAAATACCTGTAAAGCTTCTTAGTTTGACAATAACCTTCCTAAGACTTTAGAGATATACAATTAACCAGGGAATCACAGAGCCACATGTATCACTATAATGTTTCCCCTTTTCCAAACAAATGATCCTTTTCTTCCTACACTAAGATCTATAGCATATATAATGCTAATATTTCACATTACTAAAAAAAAAAAGATACTGAAACTGATAACTTCTAACCTCAAAATTGGCAGCATAAATACTGAAGGCTTAGATTCTTAATTGGGGGAGTGAAGTGACCCTTTCTTTAAATTTTGCTCTTGGGAGGCTCAGAATTTAAAGTGACACCAGCCCTCACTATGATTTAGCTTCCTTATATAGGGAATGGAAGTGGTCATACTGTACTCACCTCCTAAAGATCATCCTTCTTGTAAGGAAAAACAACAACAACCCAGAAACAAAAGAATTGGGCAGTATCACTCTCTGTTCTTATCATTATTCCATCCACCCCAAGAAGGAGGTCCTAATCCTTCTTTCATCCTATTCTTCCCCCATATGGCTTTTTTAAAACTATCCTTTTCGTTATTTTTAGTTTTTCTCTATTCTCAGCTGATTCTTTGGTACTGCCAACATAGTTTTTAAAAATACATATTTTATTGATATCTTTTATTTTAGATCGTCTTCATTTCTAAATACACCCCTCCCCTATATCTTATTCCACTTTTCTGTAGGATATGTATATGCATGAGTTGTCTTAATACAAAGACAGGGCTAGCAGATTTTGAGGATAGATATCAGCTGAGATTTGATCTCTCCTTCAGTCTCTAAGAGGCATGTCAGGGTAGAATTATATCTATTTGCCACCTCTAAACTATCTCTAGGCTAGGGGCATGAGTTTGGGTTCAAAAAGAAAGTCATAATCTACTCATTGTTAAGGGGGAGAGTATCTCTTAGTTAACACTACCGGCTTAGTCTCTTCCAACTAAACATTGGTCGCCCAAAAGATCAAGATGAATAGTAAGTAAACCCATTTATCCAAGCCAAACAGCAAACAGAAATCAGAAATGTTCTACAGTTTAGGATACCAAAGAATACACAAGAATAAATGAGCTCTTCTGCAGGGCTTAAGAGAAGATATCAGTACAAATCAGGAGAGAGAGAAAACTATCTCACCCAGGGGAGGTCCAATTCTCAGTCATTTCTAAACTTGCAAGACCTGGAGGGGAAGGGACGTGATTACCCATAAGCCAATTTCTCATACATGTCTAGGGCTCCCAGAGCTCCATCATTCAAGGTATGCCTCTATTTCTTAGTCTTAGTCTCTCTCTCTCCCTCCCTCTCTCTCTCTCTCTCTCCCTCTCTCTCTCTCTCTCTCCCTCTCTCTCTCCCTCTCTGTCTCTCTCTCTGTCTCTCTCTCCCCCTCCCCCTCCCTCTCTTGACTGTGCCTCCTCAAGGTCCTATCTCAAACTGTCTGCAACTAATTGAAGTAAGTCCCTTTTGAGCTCAAGACCCTCTCACTCAGGAGTCATGTCTCACTACCAGAGTATCACCATCAGGATCTACAAATGAAGAAATTTAAAGTAGAGAAGAAAGGAACAAAGAAAAAGGTCAGAAAGAATAGTAAGTCTCTCACGTAAATTGTCTAAAACAGGGATTCTTAGCATATGATCCTGTGGGTAAAATTGTCAGTGCTGAAACAAACCAAAATGATAACCGAAACCTGAATACCATAAATTTAGGAACAACGATGGTTTATTGAGTTCACCAGCAAGGTAGCCTCAACTACATGGATCCCCAAATGAAAAAAAAGGACAAAAAGTTTTGATTTAGGCAGGAGGTAAATTGAGTATGGAGTAACTCTGAATTGGAAAAGGCTATTGATAGGGGGCTTGCAGGATAGGAATAGCGGATATGGTATCCTTTGATTGGACAATCAAAGCTGCTATTTCTGGTCTAGTAACAGGAAAGGCTCTTCTTGTTAGCTATCTCTTGTAACCCAGCCTTAATAGATAGGATTCTCGAAGACAGGATAAGGGTTGCAATACAAACCGGGTCAGGGACAGGATAGAGGAACTGCAGACAAAATAAGAGTTGATTTAGCTTTCTTTGCTACCCACAGTCCATATGGGTCCATGATCTTGGGGGAAAAATACATTTGTGTTTCAATGTAACCAGTTTCCTTTGTAACCCTACGTATTTTATTCATCTAAAAACACTATTATGAGAAGGAATCCATTGGCTACACTAGACTGCCAAAGGGGTCCAGGACACATACAAAAAGTTTAGTACCCCATTCAAAGATGACTGTGGCATTCATTTATTTATTCAGTGGCATTCCCCATCTGTCACCCACATTCTAAATCATATTAAGGGAGGACAATCTGTAAACTAAAATTCTTCAAGCAAAGGAAGACAGGAGAAAAACCCAATGGCATAATGCCCTCGGAAAGAGTAGTATCCTTCTGAAGGATGGAATTTTAGAATACTAAAGTGTCTACTAAAGTCTGGCATTGGCTCATATTGGTGTGGAGGTGACCCTGGTTCTCAAAGATGGTGCCCCATAGCCCAGCAAAGAATGAAAAGTATTATCTAAGGATCATCTTAGCAAAGTTCAAAGAGGCTTATGGTCAGAAGTTTGGCTACCTGGTGATGATTCCTTTTAAACACAGCAATTCATAAAGGTGTTGAGGGAGGACCCATACAGGGAAGCAGTGATCAGTAAAATTCATGATAGCTTCATTAAGAATGATCATGCCAGATGAACTCCCTTTCCTTTTTAGACAGAATTAACACTGGTAGTTCAAGGAAATGCCACTGAATATACCTAGGTTTCAATAAAGCATTTGAAAAAGTTTTTCCTATTACCATTCTAAAAAAAGATGGGAAAGTGGGGGATAGATGATATTAAAGTTAATAGAATGACCTGACCCAAAGAATCATGCTTATGGAAAGATGTCTACTTGGAAGGTCTAGAATGGAGTATCTCACTATCTTTTTGGCTTGCCCATGAAATAAATTTCAGAGGGACATGTAACACAGTAGACCACAGTATAAGTCCAAAAAGACCTCAAAAAGCAAGAATAATGGCCTGACCATAGTAAGACTACTATACAAGTCCTAAATACAAAGTTCTGTATTTGGGTTTCCTCCACAATAAGAAAATCAATCGCATCTGTAAATGATGGGAGGAGTGTCTGGACAATAGTTTTTGTAAAGAAGCAATCTAAATGTGTCAGTGGACTACAGGCTCACTATGAGTTAACCACATAATATGGTAGCCAAATAAAAGTGACTTACTGCATTCTAACCCAGTCAGACCACATCTGGGGTATTATGTTTAATTTGCAGAAGATTTTTTTGAAGAACAAACCGTTCCAATGTTAATGGAACTGTGAATTGTGTGATGGAACTGTGAATTCCAGCCATTCTGGAAAGCAGTTTGGAACTATGCCCCAAAAGTCATTAAACTGTGCATACCTTTTGACCCAGTGAAACCATTACTGGGCCTCTACCACAAAGAGATCAAAGAAAGAGGAGAAGGACCTATGAAAAATATTTATAGCAGCAATTTTTGTAGTGGCAAAGAACTGGAAACTAAGGGAATGCCCATAAACTGGAGAATGGCTGAATAATTTATGGAATATGAATATAATGGAGTACTATCATGCCTTAAAAATTGATGAAGAGGATAGCTTCCGAAATAATAGCTAGCATTTATATAGCATTTTAAATTTTGTAAAGCACTTTACAAATGTAGCTCATTTCATTTTCCCAATAATCCTGGGAGGTAGGTGCTATTATTTTCCCTATTTTACACATAAAGAAACTGAGGCACAGAGAGGTTTAGTGACTTGCACAAGAACACAAGTATATGAGGCAGAATTTAAACTCAGGACTTCCTGATTCCAATTCCAATTTCACTCTATCCACTGTACCACTTAGCTGCCTCAATGGAAACCTGAAAAACCATGAGTTATTACAAAATGAAGTAATCAGAAATAGGAAAACAATTCATACTATAGCAACTTCAAAAAATTTAAAAATGATGAGTCAATATTCCAGATGACCAATGATAATGCGCCTCTCCTTCCAGAAAGGTGATGGACTAAGGGTACAGAATGAAACATTTCTGGACATAGTCAATGTGTTAGAATGTGTTTTGCTTGGCTATGCAAGGTTTTTTTTTTCCTTTTTTTTCCAATAGGGGGGTGAAGAGGATGAGGTAAGAGAAAAAGAAAATAGATCTTTGTTAGTTGAAAAAAAAATTTTAAAGGACAAACTGTCATACCCAGAAGATAGTAAAGAGACCAGAATTGATAATATACAAGGACAAATTAAAGGTATTTGAGCTGTTTAGCCTGGAGAAAATGGGACCTAGAGGAGCTATCCTCAAGTACTTAAAGATATCTGATAGAAGAATGACCAGACTTCACCAAACATTTGTTCAATAAACATTTATGAAGTGATACATATGTATATATTAAACTCATATTATACACTATAGCTAG